TTCCAATCAGTTGGTCAGGTAGCTGTCTTCCAAATTTCTTGGCATAAATGAGTGAGTGCTTCCATTGCTGCAAGATTTCAATTTGTATTCCATCAGTTCCTGGTTCCTCGTTCTTTGCCAATGCCTTCAGTGCACCTTAGACTTCTTTCTTCAGAATCATTTTCTCTTGATCATATGCTGCCTCCTGAAATCATTAAACATTGACCATTTCTTTTTGGTACAGTTACTCTAGGTATTCCTCCATCTTCTTTTGATGCTTGCATCATTCAATATTTTGCCCATGTTGTTGTGAAATGCCACCCAGACAGTTCCGGCCCATAGTGCGCGACCTTCGTATAAGGTGTGCAAGGAGCTGCTGATGAGCTTGAACCACAAATGCTACGATTGAAACCGGCTTTGTAATCTAGCCCATTAATTCATAGAATCCTTCAGTATTGCAAATTGAGGCTTGAATTTTTTTCTTCAGTTTCCTCAGCTTAAGAAATGCAGAATGTGCTCTTCCCTTTTGGTTTTCTAGTTCCCGGGTCTTTGCACATTTCATTATATAATATTTGACTTTGTCTTCTGGAGCTGACCTATAAAAAATTCTATTCAGCTCTTTTACCTCCTCATTTCTTCCATTTACTTTAGCATCTCTACACTGGTGACCAAGTTTCAGTGTCTCCTCTGACATCCATTTTGGTCTTTTCTTTCTTTCTGTCTTCTTAATGACCTTTTGCTCTCTTCTTGTATGATATTCTTGTTGTCATCCCACAACTCTTCTGGACTTTGGTTATTATATGTATTATATTATGTTTTGACTCTTGTGGACTTGTTTTCATTTTCTTCAGCTTTAGCATGAACTTGCATATGAACAACAATTCATGGTCTGTTCTACTGTCTGCCATTGGCTTGTTTTTAGCTGCCATTGAAGTAGTCACACTCATGGCGACAAACACCAGGCACATTGGAACCTAAAGCTGCCTGATCCTGCATCATTCCCATGATTGGTTGAAGATTGAACCATTGTGATGCATAGGGCTTTCATTGGCTTATATTTTGGAAGAAGATGACCAGCCTTTTCTTCTTATCTCTCACACTTAATAATTTGGTTTGGAGAGGAATTACTACACAATCCTGAACTGGTTTTCACTAACTGACCCATCAAGGGACTGATAGATAAGAATTGTTGTTAAGTGCCATCAAGTTGAATTCGACTCATAGAGACCCGGTACAGAGTTTCCAAGGAGCAGCTGGTGAGTTTGAACCACTGACCTTGTGGTTGGCAGTCCAGTGCTTATCTGACAGTACCATACCAGGAGTTAGGAACTAATGAGTGTAGACCATTTGCAAAAATAAAATACCAGTTTAAAAAAGGTTTTATTTTTTATTTTTTGCATTTCTTTTTGTGGTTTTGTTTGAATAAGGGGGTGGAAGGTGCCTGGAATTCTCAGACTTTTAAAACTCTAAGGAAATTGTTGAAATTATATTGTGAGCTTGCTTATTGCATGCAGACTGTCTTTTGCTGTACTAGGAATCTTGAGTTGGCAAGTGGAAAAAACTGAACCCAGTCCAGCTTAGGATAAAAGGGGACTCTTTTGGAGGGGAGGGGGAAGCTCATATGATTAGAAATTTCTTACAAAAAATACAACCACCAGAATGCTCCTTAGGACTGAGGATGGCTAGGTATTGCCTTGCTTACTTTGGACATATCATCAGGAAAGACCAATGGCTAGACAAGGACAGTATGTTTGGTAAAGCAGAGGGCTCAGTGAAAAAGAGGAAGTCCTTGGATGAGAAGGACTGACCCAGTGGCTGCAACAATGGGCTCAAACATAGGAATGATTGGGAAGAAGGAGTAGAAACAGGTAACATTCTGTTCTGTTATACACACGGTCAACATGAGTCATAGTTGACTCAAAGGTAACGCGCAAGAACAACATGAGCAGAAAACAGGCATGAATGGGGTCTGGGATCTCCTCATCTCTCCTCTCATACTGTTGTGTGTGTCTCCCAGGTGTCAGTTTTTCAGACTTCCTGCTGCAGACCCACATCTGAGGGACACACTGCCTCATTGTCAGGTCTTCATGACTTCATGTCCACAGGGCAGAGGGAGTTTCTTTTTCTCTCAGCACCCATCTGTCGAATTCATGGAAACTCCTTGATTGGCTTTGCCATTGGCTCATTCTTTTGTGGTTTTCAGATCAGCTGAGGGATGGATTCTATGATTGGTCAGGCCTGCACCATCCTCACTACCCACCCCCCCACCCCCCCAGGGTACTATGACTCAGCCCCCAGAACCACCAGGTTTGTCTGGGGAGAAGCAGTTCCCCCAAAGGAACAGAAAAGAAAGGAAGCAACCTTTGCTCTGATACTGACTTCTCTCTCCTGGTTGATAAGACCTTTTTCCTCTGAGATGACACACACAATCCCTTTTCTAAAAGAATAATCTTTTTCTCTTGTTGTTAGGTGCCATCAAATCGGTATTGACTCATGCGACCTTATGCACAGTAGAATGAAACTGTGTCCAGTCCTGGGCCAATCTCCCTAAAGTTGCCATGCTTGAGTCCATCGATGCTGCCACATGGCCAATCCATCTCTTTGGGGGTCTTCCTCTTTTTCTCTGACCCTCCACCTTACCAAACCATGATATCCTTTTCCAGTGACTGCTCCCTCCTGACAATATGTCCGAAGTATGAGAGACGAAGTTTAGCCATCTTGGCCTCCAAGGAGCACTCTGGCTGCACTTCTTCCAAAACAGATCTGTTGGTTCTTTTGGCAGCCCATGGCACTTTCAGTATTCTCTTAGCTGTTTCCATATTGCATGTGTCTTGCATTCCAGGTAAAAGGCATGAGGGGAGTAAACTTTCCGAATCTGAAGATCAAGTTATTTCTTATTTTGGAAAGTGTGATAGACAAAAAGTCCCTGGGTGGCGCAAATGGTTTACACATGACTGCTAACCCAAAGGTTAATGGTTCAAACCTACCCAGCTCCACCATGTGAGTGATACCCAGTGATGTGCTTCTGTAAAGATAACAGGCACGAAAACCCTGTGAAGTCATTCTACTCTGTAGAATCAACTTCATGGCACTGAGTTTGGTTGGTGGGCTGATTCGCTGGTGAACACAATGTGGGCTGTGGAGTCAGACAAACCTAGATTTCAATTCTGCATCTGCTACGGAGTGTTGAAATTTGAAACAGTCCTTAGGTACTGTAGTTGGCCTCACTTTCCTTATAGGAAAAGCGATGATGAAGTGCCACCCCTTTAGTTTTACCATAAGGACTAATAAGATAGCATATATAAGGAAGTAGCACAGGGTCTTCATTAGATGGCCCCTTTATTTTTCTTCTCCTTCAAGTGCCAACTGGGTAATTCTTTATAAGTTAAGAAGCCTTGGCAAAGCAAAATATGACAACAGATAGTGATCGCTTACTTTAACCTTTATTTGATCACTTGGTACATGTTGTGAAGTGTCCTCAAGTTCATTCTGGGGTGTTCTGAGGAACAGATGTTGCTGTTAAGTGCTGTCAAGTCAATTCTGCCTCATAGCGACGCTGTATGGAATTTCCAAGCAGCGGCTGGTAAGCTTGAACTGTCAGCCTTGTGGTTCAAACCGACCTGGCACCACCCCAGCAGCTAATGGGTTTGAACTGCTAACCTGGTGGTGTGATGTGGGATAAGCACTGGACTGCAGGTCTTATACATTTAGCTGTCCCAGTGCCAAACAAGTGTGGCGCTGTGGGTTAATGCACCAGACTGCTAAGCCGTTGAAACTGCAAGGTCAGCAGTTCACACTCACCAGTTGCTCCTCGGAAACCCTATACAGGGTCGCTATTGGTAGGAATCGACTCGACGGCACTTAACAACAACAACAGTGCCAAACAAAATGCCTCTGGAGTACACTAGGGATTCAATTAAGTAGAACTGCTGAACTACTGAGATACCAGACAGAATTTTTGAAGATGACTGATCAGTGCTGTCTTAGAAAAGCAAGATCTGAAGGTTATACTTCAGATATATACCACACTCAGCAAATGTTCAACTCATTTCTGAACTTAACCCACATGTTTACCTGGACCTAACTGTTCATGTGAACATGCCAGTTTATCAGTGGCAGCCTAGGGAAGACATGATAGTGGTTATCTGCCAGGGAGTCGATTCCAACTCACAGTGACCCTGTATACAGTTTCCAATCCTGTAAGCCTTTATGGGAGCAGAAATCCTCATCTTTCTCTAGTGGAGCAGCTGATAGATTTGAACTGCTGACCTTGTGGTTAGCAGCCCAACTCATAACCCACTATGCTACCAGGCCTCCTTGAAGTTACACTGTCTAGGTTTAAATCCTTCCTCTGCCATCTACTTTCTTGAGTGGCTTTTGGTTGGACAATTTTCTTAATATATTTGTGCCTCTGTTTCTTCATCTTTAAAATGGGGTAGCAAAAATATTAACCCTATGGGTCTAGTAGGAGAATTAGATGAGATAGCGTATAAAGACACTGAGTACAAAGTCTACGTCCCACATTATACTTATATATGTTCGGTAGGATAATCACTGGACTGCTAACCATAGGTTGTGGTTCGAGTCCACCAACTGCTCTGCAGGAAAAAGATGAGGCTTACTGCTCCCGTAAAGATCCACAGCCTTGGAAACCCTATACAGGGCCACGGTGAGTCAGAACCGCAACAACAAATGCTCAAAATAAAAGCTGTGGCCTATGTATTGAAATATGATTTAGGTTATTTTCAAAGTTTACAGACATCAGTGTATTCTGCATATACCGTACAACCCTCCCAATTAATAAGAACAATACTCATCGAACAAAGCAAGAACAAAACCAGACATTAGAAAGCACAACAACCCCACCATGCAGAGAAAGCCTCCATCAGTCTTTGGGTAACCCTCCAATAGTATGTTTTTGCCTTAATCTACAGTGCTTTTAGTTGGCCAAGCCAACATTACTGCTAAAACGTTTATTTCTGTAGTAACCCTTGTCTTCTTTCTTTGCCTTTCTTGTCCAGGACTCAGTAAAAACTCTAAAGGAAGAAGTCTTATTGGTAAGAGCAATGGCTCATCTCAAGGCACTGGAAAAGGAACTCCAGGGGAACCTGTCTTTTTTGTGGATGCCTTTTCCGCCTCAGTCCTCACTGGAAAACTGACTACTATTTTTCTCCCAGTTGTCTACACAATTGTATTTGTGATTGGTTTGCCAAGTAATTGCATGGCCCTGTGGATATTTCTCTTCCGTACACAAAAGAAACATCCTGCTGTGATTTACATGGCCAATCTGGCCTTGGCAGACCTCCTATCTGTTATCTGGTTCCCCTTGAAGATTGCCTATCACATCCATGGCAACAACTGGGTTTATGGGGAAGCTCTCTGCAAGGTCCTGATTAGCTTTTTCTACGGCAACATGTACTGCTCCATTCTCTTCATGACCTGCCTCAGTGTGCAGAGGTACTGGGTCATTGTGAACCCCTTAGCGCACACCAGGAAGAAGACAAACATTGCCATCGGTGTGTCCCTGGGAATCTGGCTACTGATTCTGCTGGTCACCATCCCCTTGTATACTGTGAAGCAGACTGTCCGCCTTCCAGCCCTCAACATCACAACCTGCCATGATGTTTTGTCCGAGGAGGTGTTGGTGGGCGACATGTTCAATTATTTCCTCTCACTGGCCATTGGAGTCTTTTTCTTCCCAGCCTTCCTCACTGCCTCTACCTATGTTTTGATGATCAGAGTGCTGCGATCTTCTGCCATTGACGAAAACTCAGGGAAGAAAAAGCAGAGAGCCATCAAACTCATTGTCACTGTCCTGGCTATGTACCTGGTCTGCTTCACTCCTAGTAATCTTCTGCTGGTGGTCCATTATTTCTTGATTAAAAGCCAGGGCCAGAGCCACGTCTATGCCCTGTACATCACTGCGCTCTGCCTCTCCACTCTCAACAGCTGCATCGACCCCTTTGTATATTACTTTGTTTCAAAAGATTTCCGAGATCACGCAAAGAATGCCCTCCTCTGTCGAAGTGTCCGCACTGTGAAGCGGATGAAGGTATCCCTTTCCTCAAAGAAATTCTCCAGGAAATCCAGCTCTTACTCTTCAAGTTCAACCAGCGTTAAAACTTCCTATTGAGTCTTCCAGCTCTCAAAATGGAAGTTTTTCAGTAGAATTTGGATGCCGCTTTATATTCTGGGATGTTTCTGATGTTTCCTAACAGAGTGGGTCTGGTCACATGGCCACATACCTTGGTTATGCAGAACATCCCTCAAAAGTGCTAGAAACTTCCTTGTTTGCATGAGAAAAGGCCCTGGAATTAGCATAGATGTTATCAGTTTCAGAATTCCTCTACTCCAGTGTTTCTGGAGCTGAACAGTCAGAAGACAGAATCCCTTGGCTGGAAGACTTCATTTCTTAGCTGAAATGACATTTCTTTCATCTTCTACATCTAGCCATACTAGGGTTCAAGGGCCAGCCATCAGAGATTATCAGTCCAATTAAGTGATTTTACAGATGAGAAAACTTAACAGTGACCTGCCGGAATTCAAGTTTCCAACCAGAGCAGTGAGTCAGGGTTGGACAGGAGGTTTCTAGTGTTCACAGTGGTTCATGCAACACCATGGACATCACTACCCCCTCTCCCCCCCAAAAAAAAAAAATTCCTGTCGAGTCATTTCCAACTCTGGTGACCAAGTGAGTGCTGAGTAGAACTACTCTGTAAGATTTTCAGGGCTGTGACATTTTGGAAGCAGATTGACAGCCCTTTCTTCAGAGATGCATTCGGATGAGTTAGAACTGGCAGCCTTTCTGTTAGTAGTCAGGTGCTGAACGATTTATGCTGCCCCGGGATTCCCAACTGTGTCCTGGTCATGGTGTGCCTTGGAGTCATTCCAACTCATAGCAAGCCTGTCTGTACAGGGTTTCTGAGGCTAGCAGAAAGCCACTCCTTTCTCCTGCAGAGCAGTTGGTACATGGGAACTGCAGACCTCGAGGTCAGCAACCGTAAACCAGTATGATAACCGGAGCTCCTTTACAGCATCTTGGAGCATGTTAAAACACAAAGGCTCTTCTTTCTCAGTGATACTGATACACTGCGAACAAGCCAGGGATTTGCATTTTAACCAGCCTCTGTCTGATGGTTCTGTCACACCAGGGTGTGAGAATCCCTAGGCTGAATGTGTCTTTTGACTGATGAAGAGCCCTGGTAAATGTTGGAGAGAGAGGCAAGCTTTGCGTCTCCTCATTTGTGTTTTTGAGTTCAATCTGTTTGCTGACTTATTGGGACTTTCATTTCTTATAACTTTTCATGTATCATTATTTACTTCACAAGAAATACAATGAGGATTTCAAACTTGTAAATTAAAGTTTTGTTTAATTTTTTACTGACTTCAGTGGAAATCTTCAGCTAGTCTGAGTATTAGATTGTTCTGTAACTAAGAATAGCATTTACCACTTAGTATTTTTTTAAAAATGACTCTTTGGAATATTTATTGTCAGTTTTGTTTGTTTTTAACTGTGACATTATAAAAGGCTCCTGTGGATTTAAAGTCCCCGTGTCTGTACATGTGATTTGCAGCATGTTTAAAAGTTCTTGACTCCAGGCTGAACTTACACAACTGTTGTATTTGTGACTTTTTAAAATAACTTTTATAGAGTGATTGATTTATAAATAACACCTGATTTTTTTACAGTTTATTTTTGAGTGTGTCTTTCTTTACTTTTTGGGGGAAGGCAGATAGGGAAAAGGAAACCTCAGCCTTACCTAAGGTTTTTAAGAGGCAATAACATGCTACTTGTACTTTTATTTTTACATATGTGGCTCTACTGGTCTGTGACTATTGTTTTTTCATTGTAAAAACATGTAGAATTCTTTCCATGCCTCCAGTTTTAGGATGACCTCCAGTTTCAAAGGATACAGACTATTTATTATTTTGGAAACAACATGATATATTTAGCCATTTCCCTATGATGACTTCCTAAATTGTATCCCTGGCTCTCTGTTATTAAAATTGTTGCATTGAACATCTGTGTGCAGATATGCTTGTGAGGATTTCTCTAGGATAAATTCCTGGAATTAAAAGACCCAGGTCAAACGGAATGTTGTTATTGTGAAGTGCCATCGAGTCGGTCCCGACCCATAGCGACCCTGTATAGGTTTTTCCGAGGAGCAGCTGGTGAGCTTGAACCGTCGACCTGGCAGTTCAAACGGCTTTGCAGTCTGGTGCATTAACCCACAGCACCACACCAGGACTCCCCAGGTCAAACTGAATAGGAAGATTTCATTTAAAAAAATTCTTAATTGCTATACACATCCATTCTCATTTGCCAGATAAAACTAATTTTTATAGTAATGTGTTTTAAGAAAATATATTCTTGAAATGGAAATGAATATGTATGTATGTACATACTTACAGGCACATGTGCATTTGTATATTAACATCTAAATGAGTTTATGTGCATCTCCCTCATGTTTTTAAGAGCAATTAGCCATATATACATATATGGATGACTAATTTGGTGGTGGTGGTGGTGGTGGTATGCCGTGGAGTCAGTTCCAACTCAGTGACCCTGTACAGGGTTTCGAGGCTATAAATCTTAAGAGGAACAGAAAGCCTCATCTTTCTCCCACAGGACTTCTGGTAGTTTCCAACTAGCTGACCTTGAAATTAGCAGCCCGACTCATAACCACTACGCTACCAGAGTGCCTTTAGGACTCCATGAATGGTGGTGGTGGTTATGTGCTGTGGAGTCTGTTCCGACTCATAGCAAGCCTGTACAGGGTTCCCGAGGCTAAATCTTTACGGGAGCAGAAAGCCTCATCTTTCTCCTGCAGAACAGCTGGTAGTTTCCAATGGCTGACCTTGCAGTTCACAGCTCAATTTGTAACCACTACACTACCAGAGCACCTCAGGACTCCTTGAATAATATAGCCTATTAATAGGTACTTTTCTTGGTTCTTTTTCACCAAGTTTTGAATCTGCATTAAAAAGCATAAGGAAATTTGAGAAATAATATCATAAGAATGTTTGGTGAAAGCAAAAGCTTTCCAAGTAATTTTGTTTTACTTGCCTTGGAGAGGTGGCTTGTGAAAGCCTTCCTGTATCTCAGGTAGGCCTCTGATTCCAGATATGAGGAACTGTGGGCCAGAGCAGGAAAATAGGAATATGTGTACCTGGGATGTGTGTGTTTTGTTCTTGTATTCCATGTCTTAGTGTGGTCAGGTTTTCTAAGCTTAGTCTTAAAATACTTTGCACTACACTGCCTCTGTGTTCTAAAAATAGGGTGCTCTTAATTTGAAAGTGAATGCAGATTTGCTGACCTGCTTTGTAGGACACACACTAAACTCCCTGGGTACTGGGGTTTCACATGTACAATTTCCTGGTTATCAAGATTTCATTAATCCTGGGGCTATAGTCTGATCAGTATGCATAGTTTAATGATGACAGCTTTCTTCCTGAAATGTTAACCTTCTGGAGGCCCTTGAGAGGAATGGACTATATTACTGAATCAAAGATTAAATTGATAACTACTATCTTCTGGTTCAAACTCACCAGCTGCTCCTTGGAAACCCTATACAGATTCACTATGTGTCAAACCCACTTTTGGCACTAACCAACAACAGGAACAATCTAACTAGTCTCATGGATTAAGTTACGGTTTTGTTCTGCAGAGTTTAGATGTATTATTGAAATGAGAAGTTTCACATTCCACAGCATTAAAAGGCAAATGTGCCCCTTCCCTGTCCCCTCAGTTCTGATTAGAAAAACAACGCTGAGGAATCAAATCTCTACATTTTATTTAAGCTTTGGAACTTTGCTGAGATGGTAAAGCCAAAGCAAGATGGTTGTTATGCTTGTAAGTGTAAATACTTGGGGTCACCCAGACCATGACTTGGAAATGTCTTTATTGCAGTAGAGTAGGATGAATTCAAAGAACACTGGTGGCTCAATGGAGGAAGCACTCAACTGCTAACCAAAAGGTAGGCTGTTCAAGCCCAACAGATAACTTTGTGGGAGAAAGACCTAACAATTTACCTGAAAGACAAAGCTTTGGAAACCTTATATTGTTATTAAGTACCTGAGGAGCAGCTGTGGGTTTGAACCACCAACCTTGATGTTGCCCATTGCTTATCCAACAGTGCCACACCAGGACTGCCTATGGGGCAGTTCTATTCTGTCCTATAGGATTGCTCTGAGTTGAAATAAATTTGACATCATGTAACCACGAAGACTGATTCTTAGAGATTCTTGCCTAGTCTGTCTTTAGTGAGAAATTAGGCATGACCAGAGTAACGGGCCTCTTTCTGTAGAAACCACAGTCCTGAATCTGAGTCCACCCTCACAAACTCTAGCCAGGCCATCAGCACCCAGCAACCATGAGTGGTTCATTCATTTATCCCACAAACATTTACTGGGGATGTAACATGCAAATAAGTAAATTGGGAGTCCTACCTTGAGCAGCTGACCGCCAGATAATAGGGTTGATCTTCTCAGTAAAACACATTAATACTAAAATCGGTAAACTCTCCAGTGTCTGGGGTTCTTGAAAGACCATTGCAAAGCTAGTTGTTGAGTGTTCAAGTCAAGAGAAATGTAAAAAGATATGCCCATGCTAGAACCCAGTTATTTCTTTTGTGTGTCCATTGAGATATTTTCATGAACAAGTATGTGTACCTTTATGCCTTTTATATATATATATGTATGGTTTTGTTGTGTTAAGTGTCATCAAGTCTATTCCTGTATATGTTTTTTGAGGCTGTCATTCTTTGAGAGCGCCGAAAGCCTCATCTTTCTCCTTTGGAATAACTGGAGTGTTCTAACAGCCAACCTTGTGGTTAGCAGTCCAATGCTCTTCCTACAATACCACATCAGAACTCCAACTCAAGATTTAGTGGTTTGAAACAATGCACAAACAGTCAATATGCTTGGCTGATAACTGAAAGGTTGGAGGCTCATATCTACCCAGAAGCACCTTGGAAAAAAGGCCTGGTGATCTTTCTGGCGGAAAACAAAATCAGCTGTTGAAAACAGTGTGAAGCACAGGTCTTCTCTGACACTCATGGGGTTTCTGTGAGTCAGGTCAACTTGATGGCAATTGGTTTTGGTTAAATCCACATAATGCAGCAATAAGTTTCT